TGATGCTTTTCATTTAAATGCATAAGTAAACCTGTTTTGTTCCTAATTTCAGCACGGTTTTACTCATAGGACATACAGTTAGAATGGTCTTAGCTCACGTGGTTCTGTGTTAATAACATCCAGTCGTGTTTCTTATTCAAGGGGTTTGTGAAAGTTGTCAAGAATAAGGCATACTTCAAGAGATACCAAGTGAAATTCAGGAGAAGGAGAGGTACAATTAAATTCCCTGTGATGTATAATTAAATGTCACTGATGAATATTTCTAGTTTATTCACGCATGTTTTCCACACTGTAACTGTTGTATTTCAGAGGGAAAAACTGATTATTATGCCCGCAAGCGTTTGGTAATTCAAGATAAAAACAAGTACAACACCCCTAAATATAGGATGATTGTGCGTGTTACCAACAGAGACATCATTTGCCAGGTAAGGTCTGTGGTGCTGCTGCTTCCCTGCCAGCCTTCCCAGTGTGAAGCAAACGGCAAGAGTGGAGTGTCTGAAGCAGCTGGGGTTTTTAAGCTTGATCTGAGCAGCTTTTATGTTGTAAAGTAGTTCCTTAGAAGAGAACAATCTTTAATGTTGCTGCAACTTCAGTAATAAAGCATATTCGTGACACAAAACAAGTTTTAGTAGTGTCAGCATCCTTCAGCCAGGTTATTCGTAATACAAAACTGCTGGTTTGATGATGCTGAGGTAAGTAAAGATCTTGGGGATTTCTCCCTGTTTTGTTCCTGCTGTATTTAAAGTGCTTCATGAAAGAGTCTTTGTGCTTGACTGAAGGCAGCAGGGTCGACTTTGACCTGTCAACCTGCACTGACAGTTTCACTGTATTTAAAGGTGCCTTCTGAGAGGTTTTTTCCTGTGGTGGCATGTGGATGATGTGAAGCAGTGAGGCCATGTGATGCTCTCCTTGTGAGACTAAAGGAGACTGGTAGATAAAAGCAGTAGGCATTTGGTCATCCTCACTGAGCACGCAGTTGAGTGTTGCATCATGCACCATTCCTCACTGTGCTTCGCTTTACTGTTTTGTTTCCAGAATGTGTTGAATTTTGAAGTTTAAAAACTTAGTCATGTTTACTATGTTATAAGTATGCATTGTTAACCTCAGAAAAGGAGCAGCTAGAAAAGTTAACTGTTCTGCTTTTTTCATGGGATGATGATCTGTTGAGAACAGTGGTGAGGGCTGTTTTTACAGTCAGTTCAGACCCTGATGAGGTGGTTTTATCTTTTGAAATTCAAAAGTCAGTGGTGGCAGGTGCTGACATCTGACAGGTGGTGCCTATCCAGTGTGTGAGAATCCTGCAAAATGGGGACAACTTTTGGATGTAGGAAGGAGGTGTGGGAGTTGAAAGGAGAAGGTTCTGTAGGTGAAAGGAAGAGGAGAAGTGTATCTGATAGTACTGCTCCCTCACAGGAGACTTCAGAGATGGCGAAAATCTCGGACCCATTACTAAAATAATTCCATAAGGTTATTATCATAGAATGATTTGGGTTGGAAGGGACCTTAAAGATCATGTAGTTCTAACCCCCTGCCATGGCGGGGGGGTCATGACAATGTTATCACAAACTCTGTATCAGATGCTGTTTGCATCTTTCTGAGGTGTGTTATATACTGTGTTATGCAGAAAGTGGACAGGATCCATCCACATCCATAGTGAATCTTGGAAAGGTTTCCTGGCCTTTTGATGTGTACAGACAGGTAAATGAAAGTTGTGACATGGACTTTCTCTGGCCTAATACAGATTTGTCGTCTTTATGTCTGTACTTTAGGACTTAATTATGCCTTTAAAAAAGAAAGAATTAAAAGAAAATGACAAGCCCTTGAGCTTGCATGCAGAGTTTGGCAGCGTGCTCTATAGTATAGACATTCCTCTGTAGTACTCCTGTCAGCTCAAGTAGATGTCAAAGAAACAATAAACCAAGCCCAGAGTTCTTGTGAGAACGCTAACTCTTGTTTCCTTGTCAGATTGCCTATGCCAGAATCGAAGGTGACATGATTGTCTGTGCTGCTTATGCCCATGAGCTGCCAAAATATGGTGTGAAGGTTGGCCTGACCAATTACGCAGCAGCGTACTGCACTGGCCTGCTGATGGCACGCAGGGTAGGTATCTGTCCAGGCTGCTGCTCTGGTTTTCTTACCAAAGGCAAAGCCCACTTTCTCCAGTGGTGTGCTGGTGGTGATACATGGCTCTGTGGGCTTCTCTGAATAGTAACTTTTGGTTTTTACCTTAGAGATTTGATGGCCTCCTGTGACTGTCAAATCACAGTGAGAAGTAATGACGGCACACAGGTTCAACTCCAGCAGCCCACTCTTAAGTCTCAGCACTTAAGTTTGGTGGAGGGAGGGAGTCAGGATGAAAATGTAAGAAATGTACCTCTAAGAGTTTGAAAACATGTAAACAGCATCCATCCATTTTCCATATGAGCTCAGGAACATGTCTTTAAGTTCCCTAATGTACCTGTTGGAACAAAAGGTTGAAACTTCAGACATGCTTACTGTGGTAGTTGTTAAAAGCTTAGTATGGGATGCTTATTTTTATAAATAAATTAGTTAAAATATGAAGATTTTACTGCAGATTTGTGTTTTACAGTGGTGATGGTTCTTCATTTCATTGATAAATGGAAAGAATTTCAGAAGTGCCTTTTTTGTTCTTGCAGCTTCTGAATAAATTTGGCCTTGATAAGATCTACGAAGGCCAAGTTGAAGTGACTGGTGATGAATATAATGTGGAGAGCGTGGATGGAAAGCCTGGTGCTTTCACATGCTACCTGGATGCAGGTCTTGCCAGAACTACCACTGGAAACAAAGTCTTTGGTGCTCTGAAGGGTGCAGTGGATGGTGGTCTGTCCATCCCACATAGGTAATCTAGTCTGTTTGGAAGGATTCCTTTAGAATTAACCTGAGATTCATCTGTAGGTGACAGCCTACATACACTGTCACTTAATGTGCCAGTAACCTGGGAATGATTATGTAGCCTTTGGTTCTGGGGTGGGTTTTAGTTGTTTGTTCATTGGTGTTTTTTAATCCAGAAGTTCAATTCTGAGAATGCTGCTGGGAATCTTGCAGCTATCAAGAGATGTTACTAAACTTATAGAAACTAAAAAGCCATCTTGTTGCTTTGACTTAAGGTCACTAAGTGATTGCATGCAGTTAAGTAAATATCCTTTAGTATTCTGTTGGCTTAAGTGTTCAGCAAGTTGTGTGTACATACTGATTTCAGTGCAAACAACTGTATAAACCAGGTACAAAAGCACTGATGCTTGCTGCAGATGTCGGGGCAATAGTAGGTCTGAGCAGTCCACCTGCACTTAAAATTTCTATACAGAAGTTTTGACAACTCCTGTCATAGGCTATGAATGACTAAACCAAGATACTCAGCAGTGTTACCCAACACTCATACTACTGTTGGCTGCTTCTTTCCACAAGCAGCAGTGGGGGATATGAGCTCTGTTGTGTATTTTCTTCCCTTCTCCCATGCTCTTCTATTCATTCTTGACTAATTTAGCAATTTTTCTGACTTGGCTGCTATGTGATGATACTCCCAATGACTGAACACTCTGTAGTTGGTCCATGGTGTGTATGTGATGTACAGCACTGTTTCAAGACGGGACTGATGGCAGCTGAGATGAACTTAACTTAAAACTTCCATCACTTAATTTTCTTTATCTCTTAATTTCTAATTAGAGGGTCCTATCCCTCAGTTATCTGTAGGAGAATCTGATGTGTTGGTCATTTCTGTGTGCAACTTAGCCTCTGAATTGGAGCATTTGGCAATGTGTCTTAATCTGTCTGTAATGCTGTTTCACAGTACCAAACGTTTCCCTGGGTATGACTCGGAAAGCAAAGAATTCAATGCAGAGGTTCACCGCAAGCATATCATGGGCCAAAACGTTGCAGATTATATGCGTTACCTGATGGAGGAGGACGAAGATGCTTACAAGAAACAGTTCTCCCAGTACATAAAGAACAACTTAACACCTGATGGGGTGAGATTCTCTGGTTCATGTGCATTAATAGAGGTGCTGTTAAGTCTTGTGCAGAGACTTCTCTAGTAATGCAGCTAAGATTAATATGTAAAATAATGTGATTCATGTTGTATGTTATCCATGCAAAGAAAATATAAGGGCTCTGTAGTATATTGTAGACCTTTTGAAAGGAAGATCTTTTTTTCCTGCCATGAAGCTTAATGTTCTGCCTATAAACCTAAGCTCACAGGACTGCATTCTAAGCTGGACTGTTTTTGGGGGGGATATTATCTGATACAGAAATGAGCTTAAAATTTCTATACATGCTGCCTGCTCATTCCTAATCCCACACCCCAGCCTGTCATTTCTGCAGCTGTGGGGGTGTGCTCTGTGTCCAATCTGTTCTAGCATTTTTGTGATCCTATAGGTAATTCCGTGTCCCAGGTGAACATAGACTAGCTCGAGCTAGCTCTGTTGTAGAAGCTGGAATCTCATGAAACTAGAGAGACTATAATCTTATTTCAGAGTATTTTGCACAAAATAGTAGAAAATGTGCAAGATTACCAAGGTTTCTTTCAAGTGTTCCAACTCCTTTCGGATAGCTTGTTTTGCTGCCCCCAATATTCTTGCCTGGTTTCCCCAGTTACTGGTTCTGAAGCTCCAAGCAAGCATTCTCGCATCATTTTTCAGGCTGTGGAAATATTCTTTGTCCCTTTCTTGCTATGTGGCTTGGAGGGGTTTGGTTTTGGTTTCGTTTTTTTCTTTTTGTAAACTTAATTAATTGCTACTTTTTGTAACTTTGCTAAAAAATAAGTAAGGTTATATTGTAAATGCCAACTTCATCTAGTTTACTAATAAAACAATATTTATAGCTTGTATTGCAATGGAGTGAGTCCAGGACTTTAGGCAGTAGCTAGACACTTAACTCTTCATGCATCTAGAAGACTTCTCACATCTGGGATCTAGTGATATTAATTAACCACCAGCAAAGGTATTCTTAGCATTGGTGCTGTTATGGAGCCATAGTTAGTTTTGGGACAGAGCAGCATTATTGCACCCTTGGGGACAATGCAGGGACTGTCATAGTTCTTGCAAGACTTGCTACTCTGAAGCTGCTTTCACAGCTTCTACTTCCCTCTTACTGAACAGCTTTGTAATGTGTGCTACAGTGGGGTTTGAAAGGTGGTAACATGTTTGATGACAGAGTTTGTGTGGAATAATTTTGGCATAATAAGTAAACATGAAGTATTTTATTCTAGGTAGAATAACTTTCTAGACTGCCTTTTAATTTCAGTGTGGGGAAGCTATGACACTGAAAGCAGGCTTCAGAGGAAATAGTATTTCAACTGCAAGATGATAGCCTATATTTGAGAGACTTGTGAGTTGTCTGTACTTAATTCTATGGCCTTGGTTCCTTAACTGTAAAGTAAGGATAAAATTACTTTTTCTTGTTTGTGTCTAAGTTGCAGGTTTGACTACTGAAATTGAATCCTAGTGATAGCAGGAATTCAGTATGCTGTGGCAGTGTATGGAAAGTATTTAAAGGCAACCATGCAAAATTACAAGCTGTATTGTTATGAAACCTCTTTGTAGTGCATGCTCTGGTCAGGGTATCTTGGATTTTTAACATCATGGTACACCTGGACCACTATGGAGAACTGAACAGGGTTTTTTATGTATGTTTTTTTTTTAAGATGGAAGAAATGTATAAAAAAGCCCATGCTGCTATACGGGATAATCCAGTCCATGACAAGAAACCCAAGAGAGAAGTCAAGACAAAGAGGTAAAACTCATTCTCTTTAACATGAATGTGACGGTTAAAGACACTGTTAAAACAAGTAGTGAATTCTCACTGCAGTTATGTCAAAGCTCATGTGTTTTAGTCGAGATTAGGATACAAACAGTTCTCTGTCACTTTGTCTTGAGTTAACATTAGCAGTAGGAATCTAGACTTTTAAGAGCTCTAAACTATATAAAAGTATTTTTCAAGTGGAGCATGCTTGTGGCCTGAATAGCTGGAACTCTTTTAAGTGTGTATCTTCAGCTGTTAAATGTCTTCAGTGGGAAAGCTACTTCTCTGGCTGATTAGTCAGTACTAAACTATTTTGATTTCTCAGGGTTCTGGGAGAAAAGAAATCAAGGCCCAGTGGTTGCATTGGGCTTGACAGTGTCTATATTCTAGTCACAAGAGTACTGACTGAGTTTACCTCATGAGGAGTTAAACTGCTGTAGTCCAACCACATAGTCTTGTGTACCCAAACTACAGCTTTAAATCATTATAAGGAAATTGTGTGTTACAGCAGTGAGACTTTGTTACAGCACAGCATACTTGATCACAGTTCTGGTGCACTGCAGCTTGCTTGACCACTTTTTTGCTTATTTCTGCCTTGGCTATATCATATGTTGTGCTTGCATTGCAGATGGAACTGTCCCAAGATGTCCCTCGCCCAGAAGAAGGACCGTGTTGCTCAGAAGAAGGCGAGCTTCCTCAGGGCCCAGGAGCGTGCAGCCGATAGTTAAGACAACTAGATAGTTTGCTATGAAGCTTTGGAAAAAGTGGCAATAAATTTATTGAGTAAGCAGCTGTGCAAGACTGGCTTATTTATGTATCTTAGTAAGGTGCAGAACAGGGATCCAGATACGCTGTAGCTTTAAGTAGGCTTCTCTCCTGCCCCCTTATAAATTGAACTCCTTCACAGAGGAGAGGCAACAGACTTGTAACACTAAGGCTGCTGCATTAGAATCATCCCCATGAAGGGGAAATCCATGTGATTAATTTCTAGTGTGACTAGTATCAGAGACTGAGAAAAAGAAATAGCTGCTTCTAACTACAAAAATGTCATAAATTTTTAAGTCTTTACATGTCCTTCACCATTTTTCTTTCAGCGTACTTGGTGTTATGGAGGAATCTCTATGGAGCTTAGGAAAAAAGCAGGAGTACTCACAACAGGTGCTAAAACCTCTGCCCAAAGGCAGCCGTAGGCCTTCAGGAACACAAACAGCAACACTTTGCCTACTGTGACTGAACTAGCTGATAGAGGAATAGATGTCTAATTGAAGTATTTAAGCTTCCTCCAGTAACTAAAGTAAGTACTTTGACACACTCAGCTCTAAGCTCTGGCTGCTACTGAAACAAGTACTGTCTTAAGCTGAATACTTCACATGATGTAGTGTTTAGACAAGAGAATTCACTTTCAAGTTGCATATACATGCTTAGTTACAGAGGCTGTGACTTGCCCCTATCCCTTATTTTCTTCTTAATTTCATAGGCACTTACTTATTTGTTTCCCATGAGACTTACTGAAGTTGCTTGCACAGTTAAAATATGAGTCAAGTAGGCTACATGGAGGAATGTGTTGCTTTAAGATGCTGATAGATGGTAAGTACTGCTATTGAAAGAGAAAAGGAGGCCTGTGATATATTGTAAACAATGTATTTTTTTCCAATGAAAGCTCCAACTTGATGCAACAGCAATAAAAATGAAGGTTCTGTACCACAAACCACTATTAAAACATGTTTTCCAGTTGTTTAAAATACCCAACAGTTTGGATTCAATAATCTCTGCCCAAAACCCAGTAGCAATTAGATCTTTCCACCAAGAACATGGCCACTTGAGTGCATTGCTGGCTACAAATAGTTTATAGCTTGTGGTTGGAGGACATTAAGTTAAAGACAGTAACTAGCAGATTAATTCTTAAACTAAAAAGCTGATGTTTACAAACCAGTACACAACCCAAGCTGCATACTATTACATATGGAATGAGAAATGACTTTGTTGGTCCTGTACTTCAGTTTAATCATTCAAAGAATGCATTTAATAAAGGATACCTAAAACCAATTAACAACCTTTCAAATATTCAAATAAAACTTGTCCTGCTTACCTCTGCTGAAAATGAATGAAGGAGCCAGCACTTAGAAGGATATGGACAACTGCCATTAAAATCATTAACGATTGAACTACTTCATACCTAAACCACTTACAAATTAAACATTAACAGTATTTTTGAGCAGTGTATTAAGGTGTTTTATGAACACCCAATTCTGCAAAATTGTAAACATAGATGTGAATCTGAGAAACAACAGGGATGCAGATTAAAGGTGGTACAGTGGTCATGCCATGGGGAGTGCCAGGATCAGATGGTGTTTATTTACTTCTGACTTGAGACCTAACAGCGACTCATAGGTGCTCCTAGAAAAAAGGAATAGTAACATACTAGAGCTTGGTATGAGCTAGGAATATGAGGTGGAACATTTAAGCAATGTTCCATGATTCTGGACAATCCAGTTTCTGTACTACAGGTTAGCTCTAGCTTCCATACTTCCTGCAATAGTTCAGGAGACCTAAGTGCGGGTCTGTAGCTAAATTTGGAGGGACAGTGAAGAGTCAAGACTATTCACAACTACTACTTGTTCCACATGTCCTATGCTATGCAACCTTCCTTTTTTCATTGTCTGGACATTTCTGCTATCAGTATTTTAAAAAATTAATTAACTTTAGTTCTCATATGATAGCTTATTCCACAAACTCCGTAATTTTCAGTATTTGCTACAGCTTAATTTGGGTCAAAGGTTTCAGATGAGGTACAACACAGGTTTAGAAACAGATGCTGATACTGCTGTTAGTTTACATAGATGAGTTTAAGAAATAACATACTCTAAAATTCTTGGCTCCCAACATATATAACTATATAAGGGCTTAAGAAGTGTTGAACTACTTAAACATTCAAGATGCAAGCATGAGGTAACAAGGTGTAAACAGAATCTGATTTAACTCTCATAACCTGTCAGTCTTAGAAGAAAACTAATTTTCCACAGTTTAAAAATTACTAATGTGCAAATTCTGCCATGCCAAAGTATTAGTAAACGTCAATCTCACAGTTCAGTTTATCCACAACAGCAGCTTGGACTCAAGACACGTTATTTGCAGTAGTGGTGGTTCTTCATCAAACTGCTTGGGATAACGACCTTTCTTTTGCGGGTATTCACAAGCGAGCAATGGTTTTCACGGGATCCTAAGACGTTCCATCAGTTGATGTGGTGGCACAGTGAATACTTTCATCCTGTTCAAGATCTGACAAAGTGCACAGAACAGTCAAGCATGCAGGGATTTTGCTTCCATAACACAGCACTGGAACACCAGATCATTCAGTGGCATGTTCCCTCTTTGAGAAGCCCTGTCACAAGGTACTGACTGAAGGGCAAGAATTAAAGAGCCTTTAATGAAATCTGAATAAAGAACCATCTTTTAAAAATGCTGAGTTTTTACCAAATGGGTAGAGGCCACTCTAGTGGCAGGCATCGATTCTCTTCTGCTGGTAGAGAAGCTAAGAATCATTTGTATGGGAAATTTTCTTCCACAGTAAAGTTTTTAAGTTATTGAGTATTAAGGAATGCTCCATCTCCATCTGATTTGCTGTGACTTTCAGGGCAATACACAAGTACAATTGTTTTTCTAGTTCTTCATGGATATCAGAAGGAGCACCACGAAGCAGATAGTCTTTAAGTAGCTGGCAGGCTTTTGCCAAGTTTGGCTGAATTACTTCTGTGGTACATCTCATTTTGCTTTGGTCACATAGAGTTCTACAGTCTGTACCATAAATACAGTCTAAGTCTGATTCACACTGGCGATCTTTAATTATTTCCTTCAGGTTCATTTCTGGCACAATTTTCCTCATGTCTATCATTTTCAAATCGTATTTATCATTATATCCCAAGTTTTTGGCACTTGTATCGCACATAAGAAAGTTTCCATAAGGTCCATGAAAAATATCTTCCACAAATTCTAAAAGCCCTATGGCTATTTTTGCCTTTCTTGGCCATGATGGAGTAAACCACTGGTCCATGCTTCTTCTGAAGCCAGAAGGAATGAAAAGTTCTATAATCCACGGAAGGCTGATTCCATAGAGAGAGGTATATTCAACTCTTTCGGTCACATAGAGATTCCCACAAAACCCCATCAACTTGGGAGTATGTTCTTTATCCTGCAAGATCACCATTAATAGAAACTCATCTAGCTGCAGCAGTGCCCATGCAGATTTCGCCTCTGGCAAAGAAACTCTACCATCTTTGTTTCCATCAGCAAAAGAGAGGATGAGATTAACCAGTTCTGAAAGATTTCCTTGTTCACCCAATTTGGCCTGAAAGCAACAAATGAAAAAGATAAATATGATTTCATTAACTACCACCAATCCACTTGTCATTCTACCTCCTGTCTTTCTACTCCTACGGATAGTACGGTAGGGTACCTTATGTTCTAGTTTCCATTGGTTATAGATGTTACAGGACTTACTATCACATCCCTTAAGAGCATCCTTTTTGTTCTGTTTTCAAAGGCATCAAGTATATGATCTTCTGAAGGTGCTAGTGTTCTGTGCATTTCAAAATGCAAACATTAGAATTCAAACACTGTTCTTGCAGGGCAGTCTTTAGAAAAACTGTATCAAGTAGCTTGTTAAATATTCTCTTAGAAAAAGTATGTAGAATTCCAATCTTTAGATCAGGTTGAGTTTTCAGATGATTAAATCTTAACTACATAATGGCCAACTATAAAAGTACCAGGACACACTGGGTACAAATCCCATAGGATAAGTGTACTGAAATCTTTAATATCATTATTTGATACAATGACCTCCATTGTATCAGTACAGAGAAAGAAGCCATTGCATTTTCAACTACCACCAATGCACGGAGAAAGGCAAGATAAGCTTTCCCAAATTCTCCAAAAAAATTAAAACGCCTGCTGTTCACCCATTCTTAAGAGACAAAGCTACTGTAATATACAAAAACTGTCATCAGCTTTACACAGTGTTACATATGTGTGCATATGTACACGTGTACCTCAGCTAGAACAGCATTATTTCCATCATCAGAGACATCAAAGCACTAAAAGTGCTGAGTTACAAAAATTCTGGGGTTGCAATAAGGCACTAGAAAGATGTTTCACATTAGTGTAACACAGAAAGAACTGGGAGAAGTATGGCTGGTCGTTCTGGTTAGAGAGATTCCCGCTGCTCAGTTAACATACTCACTCTTCCCAAGCACAGACAGTTTTCAAATTGTACTTCAGGCTTTCTACTTGGTTACCGTAACCCCAAAAGCAGCAAGAAAAACCCCAAACAAAACCATATTTTTACCACACTTGTATTTCTATGCAAATACAAGTGAAATCTGTAGACATGAATGATGCATGCCAGGTTCCATCTGTTAAGTAGTAAGGAAAAAAACCTGATTATTAATTACTTCAACCTTTGAGATAAACACCTCTGGGAAAAACTGTTTTTGTGCTGATTATCTTTCTAATATGCACTTGAACAAGGCTCATACAATAAGGTATTCTCTCCAGCTGCAGGAAAATAAAGCTTTATGTCAAAATAGACTAAACAAACATGTACTTACCTTAAAAAGACTATATACCATTTCTTTGAATTTCTCAACAGTGGTTCCTCTTGTTGGTTTATCAAATAGGACTATTTCCTTCCTTGGTTCTGGGTCAGTACCAAGATCAAGCTGAGCAGCTTCTTCCATCTGGCATTTTATAACACCTTGCAGATTTCCCCAGATTCCTAAATACATCTATGCAGGAAAAGAGGGGAAAAGGTAAAAAACCTGTAGAAGTCCCTCATCTAAAGACCACCTGTACTCCAACCACTGCTTCAAGAGTCAAGTAGCAACACAGAAAACTGAGGCCTGTCTACAGACAATGCCCAGAGCACATTCAAACAATGGCAACTTCAAATACAACACACTCCTGAAGGTATGTAAGAGACACTACAGTGAGAAAACACAGAGACAGCTTGATAAACAGTTTCTTGGCATTACTACCATAGTAGAAATATGCCTAGGTTGTTAAGAGGCTGCTGTGTCTATTTGGGAAGCAGGATAGCAGAATCGTAGTACACTATACAAAAGTATAGTTACTCATATATACATGCACAGAAATCCATATATATGTGTATATATATACACATATATATTCATGTTCATACAAAAGTATAGTCAAAAAGTGTATTTTTTATGTATATGTGTTTCTAAAATATATATGTATTATAAAATTGTAATATACCCACCTACATATCAGAACAATATATCATATTATATACAGTATATTATATATATGTGCATATTATATATACTGTGTTATTAAAAACATATTCTATATAGAGGTATATTATATACACGTACATATATATACATTAAAAAAAACATGCTTGCATGTCACAGCAAATAAAGTTTGAAATTATCTGTATTAAACAGATACAGCTTGCTGACACAAAGCTCTACTTGATGTCCAGACCATGATATTTCAGTGGGAAATGATAAAACCAGGTTGGATGAGTAAAGCCTTACCTGGTTATTGGGCTTTGTTGACAAACATTTTCCAAAATACAGTGTTTCTTTAGCACAAAGACTGCTGCATGCTGACCCATCAATAACTCCAGTCTTGTATTTATCACACTGCAACAAACAGGGAAAAAAATATTTAACAAATTGCCCAGGAAAGGAGGCAACAACTGCATCTCTCTCAACACTGACTCTTGAAAGAAAAACGTAAGAAAACAATTTTGATAACCCCATACCAAACGAGGTTAAGAAACACAACTGCTTTTATCTGTCATTGAATATGTGATCTTCAACATGATGGAATATCAGAATTAGATTAATTTACATGTTGCACTGGCTGAATTGGCTGTGGAATTACTCAGGACAAACACTTAAGAAAGCTATTCTAAATATACTTACTATTATTTTCCTACAGTCATGTCCTCTGCATAGTTCTGTGTAGGTGGAGTACTGAACATATGTAACCCAGCTGCCAACAAATACTACTAACCAAGAGATGAAAAGATACTTCATCCGCATATATGAGAAACGTACCTAGAGGACACAAAAGAGAGAACATTCTTGGTAATTCATTCAGCAATAGTCAGAATGGTAAGAACAAACATGATTTACTATTTCACCTTTAAGATTCTAACTTCCACAGTCATAAAATAAGCAGACTGCATTACTTGGAACATTTGCTTCCTTCAGTGAGCAAAACTGACAGGGGAGGTCAGTTTGACTTACGAAGGTAGGAGAAAAATCAAGATATAAATAAATAGGTGCTAGATCCTCATAGGGCCAGCCTGGCTGCAAGAACCAGTTTGATCGAAATTATCCTTCCTTGAAAGGACACCATTTAATTATGCAAGTAAAATTCCTCTGTACTAGCCTTGCCTTCAGTGGTCTTGCCCATGACTGTATGCAAGACTTTCCTGCTGCTTCTGTGGCCTCACTTTTACTTTTTTCACTAGGGACAGAGGAAAAAAAGTATTTCTAAATGAAGAATTAAGGGACAGCTAAGTGCCTTGTAAGGGAGGAGGCACATTTTGATACGGTTTTTCCCTCCTCTCAGTCTGCTGTGCTAACTCTTTGGTTTTCATACATCAGGATTAGAAAAGAATTAGAAAGTCATAATTAGCTTTAGCAACAGGATACAAGGAAAGTGCATGGGTCAGTATGAGATCCATTTCTGTTAGTATGCTCATCTTCACCAATACCTACAAATAGATGCCATCAAAGAGTGAGAGCATAAAATATATATCCCAAACATGCTACCTTTTTCCTCCAGAAGAACTTGCTTTGGTAAGAGAAAAAAGAAATTATCAGTGCCAAATAAATACTTCAGCCCAAGTTGTTGATTTAGATCACATTTTCTTCAAAATAAAAAGCTTTCTTAACCACTGGTGACTGAAAGCTCATCACAGGCATCGCTATGTCGCTGCTAGAAGTCTCTGACAGATACACTTTGGAGAAGTGATCTTTCTGGAAGCAGGAGCTTTAAATGCCTCATACCCTTGTTGCCTCCAAATCAGGGCTGAGGTTAGCAACAGGACAGTGTTAAACAGACAAGTAGAGACATTTGCATCTGGTCTATGTTTAAGGATTTCTGATTCCAGGACAACTTTTATGAAACTAAGCAAATATTTGATTGTGACCAATCAAGAGATAAGCTGAGAAAAATAAAATGGGAAACATGACGCTACTTCAGAGTAAACTCTCAGCCATGAGCTGAAAGTTTGGAAAGCTTATGGAGAGAGACCTGGGAGAGGAGAGAAATGGGTTCCAAAAGATGGCAACAGGATGAACAATATTAAACAGCTTTAAAATGGAGGGAAAACACAGAACTGAGTAGATGCAAGTACGTCAGGTTTTTTTTAACTAGAGAGACTCCAGTAATTTATGAGTACTTATAAAAACATGACAGACAACCAGCACACGTTACACCCTTTTATCTTCGAAGAAACGATCCAAGAAAGGTCAGTTCCAAAACACCCAAAGGTGATTCCAATCCATGCAGCTGTGGTCCCGCTGCGTGCCTCAGCTATGCATCCCTATTCCTTCCCTCCTTCACACACACTCACTTGACTTGATCTTAAAACTGCATAGTTAAACAAAGAGATAGATACAACTAACTGCTTTTATTCTGGTGATAAATCTTGACTAGATCGTTCCTTCAACATAATACCATCAAAGGAGAACTGGTTGAGAGTGTTGTAAGACAGGAATAATTTCTGCTATTTTCCTCAGAGCCACAAAGACCTTAGTTGGAGTAACATGTAATTTCCTTTAAAGCACGGTATCCACAACATGAGTACAAACTGGATGGAATACAAAAAGGAGACCGAGAGTAATTCTGTGTGGTTTACAGCACATCTAGAAACAGCTTAGAAAATGTATAAGGAAGCTGGGGGTAGGGAGGACAGAACAGCCAAGAAACAAAACTGATAGCAAGGGGCTGGGTAGCATCAAAAAAAAAGAGAAATACCATCTATAAGCCTTTTCCATTGAAAGAACGTTACTGAAATGACAGAACTGCAGGACTTAGTGCAATTTCCTAGCTTAAAAAAAGATGAACCACCATACCTACATGCATACAGAATCACAAACTTTCTTGCAAACCACACTACTTGAACTGATGAAAGCAGTAGAAGTCATCCTACACGTGACCCAGCAGTGAGAACTGCTACTTTACCAATGACTTCAGAAACACTCCCCAGTCACACAACCCACACCATCCCCTGTAGAAGAGAACTGAAATCTTAGTTCAAGCCTTTGCAAGCACAAGGAGATACAGCAGCATCTGAACTTACAAAAGCGATTTGTAATTAAAGCATAGTATTTTGATAACATCAGATCAGACTCCATTATTGATAACATCAGATCAGACTCCATTATTGATAACTATGCAACAAAGGCATATTCATTCAGGTTTTGGACTCATCTTTTTGTCAGGATTGACTTCTAGTCAACTGAGCAAACTGCTGCCCAGTATTCCCACTTCCACACACTTGCCCAAATCATCTGTTGAAGGTTACCACCACATAGCGCAGGTCTGTAGAAGCAAACATGGACAGGTCTCATACTCTGAGAATCATCTTCTTCATTAAACAAGATTTTACCTGGAAGTTTCCAGTAGTCAAACAGTGAGCTGGAGCAGCTAAGGTATGCGGGGGGGGGCATGCTCACTCTACCACTTTAGCTGTATGTATAGTAAACTAACAGAGCATGGGATCAGAGGAGCATCTTGGACTATCCCAGGAAAGGCATTTGAGAATTCAGTAGCAAAGCTGGGTGCTTTTTCTGCCATCTCGTGTACTTTAATCTTCAAGTGTCTTTCATTTATGGAGTTTAATTGCATTTCTTCAAATTAACTCTTATTGAAACCTATCAGAAGTTACCCTGTATCTTCACATACCCCCTCCACATACTTGAAAGAAACACTTCCCTATAGGTCCCATGCTTCCGATAAGCCTAGGTACTATTGCTTCAGAAAGTTAAAAGTAAGTTTGAAATTGTTTCCAGTGTAAGCAGCATAATTAATTCTTTTAAAACGTTCAAGTTCATGGCTGTCTCCTTTTAGCTACAAAAGGGCAGGCTGCAACACAAGAGCAGGACCGACTATGCAAATCTTGGGGTGGGGATCAAATTAACTCAAAGTGTATTCAATTCATTTCCTGCTTTTTTCCTTGTCAAGACTGCTCTCTATAAACAAACCACATCCAGAGTATTTATTCTTACACTATAAAAGAACTTAACTTACATCTCAACAATGCTAAGATCCTGTGCCAAAGAAACACATGCATGAACATCAATATTTACCATCGTGGGGCTGGGTATGGGGATCTATTCATGTGGTCTAAGTCCAAGTTCACCCCACACAGCATCCTACATTGCATTCCAAGTATTTCCTTCAAGTTCTGTTATGCAAGTTGGGAAACGAGGAACATAAGGGGAAATTGTCGTTGTTGTTAGTATAAAATGGATACTGTCTCAAACCAAAGTAATCAAATCAAGGCTGAAGCTATAGCAAGATATCTCCTTTCTTCTGATAAGCACTAAGCCTTCTGGCAACTTTAAATGCTTTCTCTTAAATGCAATTTATAGTTTTATTTCTCCAAAGAGAAGTGTGATTTGCCAGAAACTATCACAATTTGAAATACATTCCACATCTGGATACCCAATACCACACATGAAAACTATCCACGACAAGAACTGCATCAGTGCAGAGTTCCTGGTTATGTTTACTTCAACATACCAGCATGTTATCTAGGGCTTTCTAGCTTACAGAAGCCAAATCTGGATCTCTAACTCCATCACACACACTTTCAGAGATTCAAAGTAACATGAGAACTTCTTCTATCATGTGAATTCTACCCAAGAGTACCAAAGGATACCAAATACAATGGCAGACAGTTCTCGTGATTTGAGCAACATCTGTGTGAGACAAGCTCATAAAACTTCACAAAAAACCCCCACAGGTTGCAGATTATTATGAACAAGCAACCACAAGAAGAACACAAATGTCACTTACAGATACTAAATGCAAATATATTAAAGATTATTGTTCCACGGCTGCAGTCAGTCTGGAAAGTAAGTCTGGGGAGAGCAGGAGGCTTGGGGCAGTTTGAATAGCAAAGACCAAAAAAAGTAGTTGCTTTCTTTCAATTTTACTTTTGTTTTTAGCAGTGAACTGTTCATAACCATTTGATTACCCAGGCCTTCACAGAATACTGCAGAACACCTATGGGGAGAACTAAAAATGGTTTTATCACATCCTCATTTCTACGGACAATTCTGACAATGGTCTTCCTAAAGCCTGTCACAAGACTCTTCTCTACAAAATGTCTGCTCTTAAAATAGGATCACTGAAACTTCCAATAAATCAACTTTCTTCAGTATTTCCCCACACATACGTAAGAGGAAGCTCCTATGAATCAGGAATTACAGCAAGTAAGTGCTAATGATTATCTTCACCTACTTGAAAAATAAGATACAGTGATTTCCTTTAGTGACAGGTTTATGTTGTTTGGGTTTTCTTAACTATTTCTAATAATCCTAATATTGTAGAATACAAATAATATAGCATGCAAAACTCCTGGTAACATCTGAGAAAGATAATAGAATAAATGTGACAATTCAAGGCAAAGCTGTTTCAGCTATAAAAACTGTTTGGGAACCAAAGTTTCCAGGACAACAAACCCTCTCCATTCCTCAAAGTTTCTTGCTGACTCCTTCCACAAACCTTTATAATACTAAACTTTAAATCAAAGTGCTATTTAGTGCAATTTTTTATTAAATGCATACCGTTTTGCACAATCTCAGAGACCATCAGAGGTCTGCAGGCCTCAGGACCACTGCAGAGTATTGACCATATTCATAGTACAGGAGAGAATACTGTACACGTGCATTTATCCAAATTTGTCCTCCTCCTCAGGCAGAAAGAGAATGTGTTTGGGACAGAAAATCCTCCCCAAATGCCATCTGACTACATCATATACTTGGCAGGAAGTTCCAGAGAAGCTAGATTTATTTTGGGCTCAGCGTTGTG